TAAAACCGAATTGCATCTTTATTTCTATCGCAGTGTTAAGTAGAACATTAATACATGTACGTATGCAGGAATATGCAGGAATGTGCAGGAATGTGTAACTTTGCGGAATAGGATGACTGCTTGTTATAATGGTACATTATTGAACGATGAACAAACAATTGAACAATGTGGTCTTGCATCTGGTTCAACACTCGATGCTACTATGAAATTATTTGGTGGTAAAGTCCATGGTTCATTGGCTCGTGCCGGTAAAGTCAAAGGTCAAACACCAAAGGTAATAGAAAAGAAAAAATTTTATGAAGAAAAAAACGAAAATTCTATTCGAATTAGGTTGCTAAACAGGAAAAACGTAAGAAGAAAACTGGACGTGCTAAACGTCGTCTTCAATACAAACAACGATTCGTGAACAAGGTTGCTGGAATGGGTCGTCGCCGTGGACCAAATTCAAATCAACAAGCTGCATCATAAACATATAAAAAACGAAAACAACTTCTTATTTATTTAACTATCATATTCCATCATAAGAAGATTGACAATATCATTTCTTTTTTTTTTGTTTTTGTTTTTAAATAAAATATTATTGATTAACATCAGAATTTCAAATCAATTATTTCATATTCATACAATTTAATACTTTCTGTAGACAATACTAGAACATTGAAATAAATATGAATCAAAAGAAAACAATTCCAACATTGATTGTACTTGGTTCCGGTAAGTCAAAAAAAAATTTAAATACTTATCATTGAGTATAATTATGATCATTAGGTGGTCATACAACGGAAATGTTTCGTTTATTATCAGGTACTGATTTAAATGTGTACAAGCCAAGATATTATACTATTGCATCTACGGACACAATAAGTGCCAAGAAAATGAAGGAATTCGAACAGAATGTGAGCATTAGTTTGCTTTTTTTCTTAATTAAAAAAAAAGAAATTTTCTACAATCGAAGACTTAAATACAGTATATGTGTTATGTAAATAGGGCTTTGTCTAATTGACTGTTTCGTTGGACGAATAAGAAACGACATATTTTTGAGTATTCGTAATTTAAAATCTATTTATGAGTTGTTTCTATAGACGTTGGATGATATGAATGTATCATTTATTAATCGAAGTCGTCATGTTGGTCAAAGTTATTTTAGTTCTATTTTTACTACACTTTGGGCATTTTTTACTGTTATTCCATTAGTTTATCGTATTAGGCCTAAACTTGTAAGTTGTTTTTTTTTAAAATAAGACTTGTCATGTATTATTAGTTCAATTTCAATTAGATACTTATCAATGGCCCAGGTACATGTATTCCAATTGTTATTGCTAGTCTATTGTTATCAGTAAATATATTACTTTTCTTCTTTTGCTTTTAAATTCATGATGAAAATATTTGTTTTCATAGTTTTTCTTTCTTATTAATCGACCAAAAATTGTTTTCGTTGAAAGTATATGTCGTGTGCAGTCTCTATCATTAACGGGTAAAATTCTTCAATATTTACCTGTGCATATTCTTGTTCAATGGCCACAATTAACTGAACTTTATCCAAAAACTCAATATATTGGAAGACTTGTTTAATGATTCATATATTTTAATGATCTTTTTTTTTAGTTATATATGTTCTTCTTCATTTAATAAAATTTATTAATGCTTATTTATATTTCAAAATTCTATCGGTATTTTCAATACAAAAAGGATACTATATTTCATTGAATGGTGATTATCATCGAAAAATGAGAATTATGACTTCAGAATAAATCCATCAAAAAGAAAAAACCTAACTTTAAAATATAAGCAATGCTTGCAGAAGAATATGCATGATTGAATGATTCTCTTGATAAAACAATAAAGAAATTTTATGCATTTCAACTATTTGATAGAACTGTCAATTGATATTTATTAAATTTCTTTGAATTCTAATTAAATTCAAATGATACTTTCCGATAAGTTTCGTATAAATTTAGTCATAAAAATAAACTACATATTTTTTCTTATTGCCTGTATATATGTATATAAAGACATAGCCAAGTCTAGTTTATTCGAATCTCTAACAGGTTTAGCTAAAAACAAAAGCAATGCTTTGTTTTTATTCAAACTTGTAGTTATTTTGTGTGAATTTTTTAAAGTGTATCATTCAGCATTATGAACAAGAATCATGAAAGCACAAACTATAAATGATGATAAATATATTATAAATCGAAAGAGAATAATAACAGATCTAATTTAAAAATTTTTGTATTCGTACATGTGGAAATCTTAGAAGTGCAACATCAGGAAAAAGAAAACGGTAAATCGGCCAAATGTCTGACTCAACTATACTCATGTAATATGTATGACTACTGAATATGAAAACGATCAGAATTTATCATTAGATTATCAATCTATTTCATAGCCAAATTTAGTTTATATTTTCTACTCCACAGCGGAAGCGATGAGGATAGGCTGAAAAATAGTGTTCTATAATAGTTCTCTGTTATATTACACGAAACCAGTCGTAGAAAATTCTTTAGAATTAACTATAGATAGTAACAAGAGGGCGTGGGTATAGTTGTTAGAAGAGATTAATTGCCTCAACCTACACTCACAACCTCAAGTTGGATGTCAGCAAAGATAATATTAATACTTTAACTTTATGATAGGATAGATATTAAGCACTATCACGAATGCTTTTTGTTACACTTGAGAATCTGGCCATCATTTTCTTTTATTAAGATCGAATCAGAGTGAAAGATAAGCATAGGCGATAACTCGAAAGAAACAGAAAAGTTCATTGAATATCATCATTAGACAATATATGATGATGCAAAATAATTTATTTTCTGGAATGATAATTATCTAACAAAGAAAAGTATCATTTTCAGTTGATGGAAATGTTAATATTTATTCTTCTTTTATCAATACCAATTGTTGTAACGGACGTTGTGTTGTTGCTTGTTACTGTTCTCAGTGAAGGCCTACTTCGCAGAGTATTTGATATAATCTCAATCGTAATTTTGTATTTAAACAAGATAATTTTGTCATTTCAACATCAGTACTATAAATAATGAACATTTATCAATAATGAAGGAGAGTAAGAAATTTTTAACTTACTGTTGTTGATTCATAAAATCGTCATGTTTAATGGCGAATGTTTTTTTGATTCCAGTGTTATAAAACTATATATAAAAAGAAAATAAAAAATAATATAAATTGAATAAACTTACTCAAAAGAAACTTTAATCATTCCATCTTCAAAAAAATGTTCCGTGTGAACATTATGACCATTGTATATATATTTGATAGTTACAACATTATGTGTATCTCGATGAAATGTAAATAGTATATTTTCCTATAATATAATAAAAATAATAAACATCAATAAAACAAAATATAATTCGTTACTTCTTCATTTTTATCTTCCACGACAAAACCGAAATTGATTAATGACCAATGAGCCGTTAATATAAGTTTATCATAATTATTATGATATTTTCCTTTATATGTGAAAAATAAAAGCTTAAGAGTATTTATATCCATTTTATCTATAAAAAAAACACAAAGATAAATCACAGCCAATTTATCTTTTTCAAAAAAGAATGTAGATATATGTCCAAAAGAATTTTTATTTTAAGATAATCGTTTAGGAAATGATGTCAATGACAAGAAAATCGGATTCATTTATTTGTTACATATACTATTGTTTATTTTCAAAAATAAAAAAACCATTGCTTGTTCTTGTGGAAAATCGAAACAAAAACAAAATTAAAAAGAAGTTTTTCACAAAAAACAAGAAATTTTTTGTTGAAGAAAAAAAAAATTCATAGATAATTTTGTTAACCAGCAACATATTGTGTACCTGAGCAAAAGAAGTATTTATAAAAAGAAAATTTTTTAATATAAAATAAACTTGTTGAATCTTTTCAGCAAATAACAACGACAATTGCTGGTCGTTTACATGAATATATTATACGAGTACAATCAATGCCAACAAAACATAAATACATCACTAAGAACTAATGATGATGGTAACAACTGCATTAATGAAACAAGTTGGTTACCACGATCTAATTTTGCATTGAATTTTTCTATCAAATTCTTTTAAATTTTATTCTATTGGGAAAAAATGTGATTTATTTTTATCAGCTGGATTATATAATCTACAACAGGTAAATATGGATAACGTAAAGGAATTTTCCATTTGTCATTAAAATAATTAGCAACTACTATTTGTTCATTGTGATCTTTAGCAAATTTCTGTTCTTTTGCTCGATACCAAATGATTTTCAAAGATATCAACGAACTTGATTCGTATGAGTTGTTACAAATCAAAGAGATTTTAATATTTTTTCGAAGAAGTAACGGATAATCGTTTGTTGAAATTCCTAGACGAATAAAGCAAAGAGAAGTTTTTAAAGTAAAGTTTTAAAAAAAATTCACCATGGTTTCGAATAGTGTTATTTAAATAACAAGAAAGAAATTGAACTAAATTATAACTTTGATAAAAACAACAAAATGAATTATTTATATTTAATTAGGACCATGTTCACCAAGTACTATTGCTTGATAAAATTCTGATGCTAAATCACGTCCATCATCTAATCATTATGTTTTGGATAAGATTGACTTTTAATTGTAATCATATCATATCTTTGTAGTAGTGTAAATAATGTTTCAAGTATTCGAAAGACGATTTTTCATCCATTATTCCTGTTGAAGGATATGAACGAGATTGAAAATAATCAGACGAAATTTCATCTATGCGACTTGTACGAGCTAAAAAAACATTTTCATAGAAGTTTTTTCATTTGGAAATATTTACAGGTTATCACGTTTCAATGAATGATAATCTTGGTCATAATCATCTAGTAATAAAATATAAAATAAATGTTTTATTGGGAATGAGAGAAACAGCAGTGACACACTCCTCATCAAATCACTTCGAGCTACTTTCGCCGTTGTTGTTATACGGTGATATCCATGCGAAAAGAAATCCATTTTCGTGTGCACATAAGAGATACAACGAAAAGAAAAAAATTTTCTTTCATATGGATGACATTATATGACAACAGAACGACAAAACTGATTCGAAGTGACTCGATAAGGGAGTGTATCATTACTATTTTTACCATTCCTATTTATTCGAACAAATATATCTGTATTGTCTAGATAATGTCGACCATTATTCGATGACATTTATCGAAAATACGAATTTATTTAATTTACAAACAAAAAAATAAATCAAAGAATTTTTAGTAGAATAGATATGTTTGTCTATCTTTCAGATAAAATGAAGAGAAATGCACGTATATAGAAGAAAAAAGTACAACGAATCGGCGGTGTCCAACAATATTAAGAGTGATGATCCTTCTGTAATATATATGCGATAGAAAACTAGATGGTATTCGAGTTTTACTCGACTACGAAATGCGATCCAAAGCTTCTTCTACTTTCTATTATCGAGAAAATCAATATTTCTTTAAAAACTTATATTGTACAAAGTATGTCAATAGCATCTAGTAATTAATTTTTTTAATTATCTATGTGACTCATTATCTACTAACGGCTGACTTTACTTGCTACTTTCATTTCAATAATCTCGAATGTTGAAAAAAAAAGCTTGTTAGCGCAGCTCTAAAGGTGCTAAAATGTGGAACTCAAGTATATGCTTGTATCTTTCTCAAGTAATCCATAACGAGTAAAATAAAACTGTTGTAAGCTCCAATGATTTTCACCAACGATTTGTGATATTACCTGTTATCGAATATTCATTTCTAGGGTGAGAACAAATTTTTTTCTTTTCGTTTGAGCGTACCTAGTCGTTTATTTATTGTACTTGCTATATACTCGAGCTAAGTCATTTTTTTTTCTTTTCATTCTTAATTTGAGTATATTAGTTTTTTTTAATAACATTTCATTATTTCACCAATAACATGGTTGTAATGTAATAGTATATTAAATATGCATCAAGTACGCTTAATACTCTCTAATAAATCTGAACGAAATCATAAATGATGATGTGGTTTATTTTTTCAAATTGATTGAGTGAATTAATGATTATTTTTTAAATGAGAGTTTTAATCGATTAATATATAGTTAGTATTCACTGTTAATATTTGATGTACAGGTTTATATTTAAAAAAGCCGACAACTACACTATTTAAACATCGACAGTTTTTCTATAGCATATTAAACAATGATGAAATCTTAAAGATTATTCATCAGTCGAACTTATATGTTTTTATATTATACAACTTTTTTTATAAATAAATAAATTTGAAGTTAGTTGTGTGCGGTTGCTAGGGTCTGTAATGGGGGGAGGGGTATGTTTGTAATGCTCTCTTTTCCACTACTATGTGTCTGTAATAGGGAGAGGAGAGCCGCAAAACCGCGAAATGAAAACTTATACTCACTATTTTCTTCGAAAATATACGTGAGTTCCACAAAACGAAGTTAAAAGAAAAATTCACCTTTTTCTTGAACTCTTTGTAAACACACAGAAGCTTTCAATAAAGATAGGAAAACGAATAATACTAATTCAGTCTCTATATTTGTATCTTGCGTTTAAATGAACATTTTCTGAGTTACCGTTCTCGAGATTATCGAGCTAGAAAGAGCAAACTTTCGATGTGGACGTCGAGAGAGATAGTAAGCAAGAAAAAAATTCGCGTCGGACTACATAAATGTCACGCTTTGCACCGCATTGATGAATAAAACCTGTGTAAAAATAATCTTACAATAATGTACCGCCGTGATTTTAATCTCGGTACCTTTCTTTTTTTTTGTATATAAGGCACCGCTGTGGAAGTAGCTGAAAAACCAAAGATAATGTTTTATTTGATTGATAACGTTGTAATTTTGGAACTCGAACAGGACTGCTCTGATGAAATAACGAAAAGACAACAAGATAGTTTTGGCTCTGTTGTAAACTGTTAGTGTCATAGCCACAACTTACTGGAGATGCCGAAAAAGCGAGATATAAAACACTCTCAACGTATGGCAGGTGCAGATAGGTTGAAGGGGTCCACAACAGGTTGTAGACTGGCCAGGCCTAGGATAATTAGGCTTGTTTTGATTTTTGAGACAAATATGCTTGTAAAATGAAACGACAAAAAGAGAGAAAAAAATTTATAATTAGCGATATAATGAGCGTAAGATGTTCATTACGTGTTACAGTGATAACATATATGAAACATGAGAACAAAACGAAAGAGATTATTTGGGCCTTCATTTATATTTGGATTCGAATTAGGTAATTCATGTTCACTTCAGTTGGTGAATCAAACCTATTAAATTGTTTTTTGAAAACTTGTCCATATTACTCATGAGTTCTACAATCCCATGTGTACACCGTTTAGCATAATTCAATTGAAATAATCAAGTAAATGCTACCAGTTCGACACAACATGCAGTAGAATCTTCAATCATATTAAATTCATTTGACAGAACTATATTACTGAAATAAGACCTAAACTACTTCATTAATTACCGCGAAAAATCTTCCACAGCGTTAACACAACAATAAGTAAATATAATATTACTATTTAGAATTAAATAAAGTATTTACTCATTTACAAGTAAAATAGAGGTAAAGTGTCACCTCTGGTTCGTACCTTTCTTTGATCTTTTCACTTCAGTCGTTTTTTCTTTAGTTTATTTATCTATATCTACCGGTTCACTCATTTACTTATCTACTTAGTCACTTGTTCAATTATTTATTTATTCGTTAATTTTTCTTTCAAAACATTAAAAAACATTTTAAAAGTTTCAAACATAAATTAAAAATCAGATTAGATTAAAAAGATGTTCATTATTCATTAATTATTGTTGTTGCCATTTATCTCATTATTTCTTACCCTCACCTCATATTTACCCTCAAGGTATACATTCAAAATTTGCTGATAAATAAGCAAATTATAATATCATAATAATTCGTTTTTTTCTCTTTTAAACATGAATCAAAATATTCATATACCAGAGACTCGATGATCCATGCCAGTACATCCTGGAACTTGCAAATTACCATTGGCAATATATTGATTATCATAGGTTAACGTAAATCGATTCGTACTACCAACGAAAAAAGTGGTTAGCTGAAAACCATGTTTATCTTTTGGAATTGGTATTGGTATTTCAGTTGGAATAGATTTAATTTCTTGTGGGCCACATGCTGCACCAGCTACATTTGCTGAAACTAATAGTTGTGTATCATTCAATTTTGATATTTTTACTTGTTCAACTAAGTAACAACATTCAGCTTGAACACAGCTATCACCTACAATAAATGTACCTAACCAGTTACTATTAACACGGCGGCCTATGCCACTACATTTTGAATATTGTAAATTAACATTAGCAATATATTGACTGTCTCAGTTTGGTGTAAATTGATTATTAGTACTAAGAAAATCTGTTGTTATTTGAAAGCCAGATTTATCAGGTGGAATTGAAATTAATACTGCAATCGTTGTTGATCCATTTAACTATTCTCGACATGGTACATCTGATACATTGACCGTAACTAATAACTGTGCATTATTTACTTTTGTTGTTGTTGCTTGCTCAGTCCGACAACAGCATTCATTTTGATTACAACTATCATCTACATTGAATGCGCCTAACCAATTGGGAGGATCTGCTAATAAACATACACCAAAGAGAAGTAACACAATTGTAGAAAAAGTAGTAATAATAGTTATAGTGCGCAATTTATGTTACAACCACAAGTGTTTCATTTTGCCGAAGAAAAAAAAGAATAAGACGACATTTATGCACATGGGCTCCTGTTGAAGGTAATCAGATGATATAGTTTGCCTCATTCATTCAAAGAATGAGAATAAGCATATGTTATATGCTAAACGTAAAACGAAATAGTATCAAAAAATATTTTGCCTTGATTTCGTCTCCATTATCATTTTAAAAAAATCGAAAACCAAGATCATCCAGATAAATCGATTTGATTCTTCGCTTAATCATAGAGGAAAAAAATGACCGATATGAATGTATATTTTATATACTTATAAATTGTTACTGTTATTGTCATTCACTTCGTCTCCTTCAGGTTATATCATTTCAACTTTCGACGATGCGTTTTCTTACACAACTTTTACTTGTAATGTTCTCATGTTTAAGTGCTCAAGCACTTAAAAAACGACAAGTTCAAGAAGTCCATGCCGATAAGTTCAAAATAATTTCACAGAAAATAAAAATTTGTTTCTATTATAGGCTACTGCCCAATACATAGAATAAGATGCAAAATTTATTGTTGACCTGTTCCTATTGATTTACCAGTTCCGAAACTAATCAATGATTGTATCATAGATAGTCATAGTGACGGAGCCAGAAAAAAATTTGAGGGAGAGCTCGATTCCTTTTAAGACCCTTCTATGGGAAGCTCAACTCTTTTTAAGACCCTTCTAGAGGAAGCTCACATATGCATTGACAGCAGCTTCAACATCTTATAGGGGAAGTTGAGCTCCCCCAAGATTCCCTGTAGCTCCACCACTAGATAGTCACTGTGGCTCGAATGAAAAATGTTGCAGGTCAGCTTGTGAATGTACCAAGAAATGCATCAAAACTTTAGAAAATCCAAGATTTGCCTAATTTTCTTAGAGATAAATTAGTCACACTTGATCTTGAATACTTTCTTATAAGGCAATAAAATGATATGATCCTCAATGAAACACTTCGATCTAAACTTTTAAAGGAAATAATTCATTAGAGATTACTACTAATTTTGAGCAGATTATCTTGATTATCTACCATAGGTAAAGACTAGAAAATAAATATTGAAAATGATTGTATAATATTTACAAAAAGTAGATGATAATAAAATTTATTTCAAAAAAAAATAGCGACATTTACAAAATGGATCTGTTTCCAAAGAGTATGATGCAGAATAAAAGAAGAAACAGCTGCCACTAAGGTTGAAAAGTCTTTATGAGACTTAAATGTTTCGAAAATCAAAAACTAGTCATGGTTATCATAAACAACAAGAATATGTGCATCTATTCTCGGTGCCAGAAGTAAATAGGGAAAACTCTGCGAGGAATATCTCCAGAACGGGTGTAGCTAGTGACCTGCGGTTTTCATCAATCGAAAGAGAAGGAGTGGGGCGTCTTTTTCTCGATAATGTGTAAGACACAACCCTTTTAAAGCTAATCATATTCGAAGAACATGCAAAAGAACCCATAAAAATGACCTGCCAGCTAGATGAAATTTTTATTTTGACCTTTGGTTTAGATAGAGAAATTTGCGATCTATAATTCCAGACACAATGCGTTTTCTTATTTTTTCGTACATTCTCATCGAAATTTTAAGCTACCATGATAAAAAGTGCGAAAACTTACTAAAAATTTAGCAAAATTTCCTATTATTTGTTCATGTAAGTAGATTATCTCATTTGAACAACGTTAGAATATAATCAGACAACCATTTGCATTGTATCTGAAGCTATAGATCTCAAATCCCTCTACCTACATCAAAAGTCAAAATCAAAATTTCATCTAGCTGGCAGGTCATTTTCATGGGTTCTTTTGCATGTTCTTCGAATATGATTAGCTTTAAAAGGGTTGTGTCTTACACATTATCGAGGAAAAAGACGCCCCACTCCTTCTCTTTCGATTGATGAAAACCGCAGGTCGCTAGCTACATCCGTTCTGGAGATATTCCTCGCAGAGTTTTCCCCATTTGCTTTTGACGCCGACAATAGTTCCTGCAATTCTAGAATCACCTGAAATGAGGCAGAATTCCTAGGGGGAGAGTATGAGGTAAGGAGCACATGAAAATCTTCTAATCACATCTGAACCTGTGTGATAGCGTATGTAGATGCCAGAGGATGAAATTGATTCTGTAATGCTGGTGATGGCAGAATAGGAACCATTCGATTTTCTTCAATTTTATGAACAAGGAAAATAATCCTCACAAAGAATACATGTAACTTAACGATAGTTATTAATCATTACGACTAAGTAGTAATCTCTAGATTGCTTTATTCCGTATAGAGTGTCACTCTAAATTTAGTGTCATTTGTCTATATTTTTATTCATTTTGTTTTTTTTTGTAATTCTTCTTTTGATTTCCATTTTAATTCAATTATTATTATTTGGTTGTTTATAATCTTGATCGATTATTATATAAGCGTTCTAGTTACATTAGGTCAATAAAATAATGATGTTCTATTTGTTTCTTTTTGATCGTTCGACTAATACTACATATTTTTCTTCTTTTTTTATGTCATAGGATACCTTGCTGTTATTTTCTTTCATCATAATAATACGATTACACCAAATAAAGTATACTATTTTATGAACTCGTTGATTTTTGAAAATCTTTTCTCTATATTCAAACATCTTCAGATATGCAATCTTATCCACCTTATTCCATTACAAAACGAGATGATAAATCAATAAAATACCATGCATCATGCTATTGTAGTTTAGTTCAATACGTTTTTTATGATAAATTTCCCTTTGATTCAACTTATTGTCATTGTTATAGATGTCAATAATTACAAAGTGCACCATATCAATGGACGTCTATATTTTCAAAAACATCCTTATATTTTCATTCAGGTTTAGATTCATTAAAATTTTATAATAATAGTGAAAATATTCCAAAACACACATTACCAAATAGAGTTAGTTGTAAACAATGTTCTACATCATTAGATGATGAAGGACGTAGAATGTGGTTAGCATTTTCACAGATATTTAAAGAATTTCGTGCAGCTGAAACAATTTGAGAAAAACTAAGAGCATCATGTTATATAATCGATGGACAAAGAAAAATTTTGGGACATTTTTTGACAGATGATGATTGACCAAAATATGAAGGACGTAAAAATAAATCAAAACTTATTTTAGATGAATAAATAAAAAATAAGTTGTAATAACGATAATATCGACAAAGCAAAGATTTGCCATTTCAGAAATGAGAGCTAATTAAAATTTTTTTTTCTTAAAGTGTGAAAAGAATAATTTCCTTAAGAATACTTCCTCTTTGTTTTAAGAACAAAAAAATTATTGATAATTAGTTCAAAGGATTGTAAATAAAGAAGATGAAAATAATTATTTCATCTACATCACAATGAGATAGAGTAAGATGTTGCTTCGTGTATATTGGCATTTTATTATGAAATATACATCCCAAATAATGAATATACATATCATCTTGCATTTGTTTTATCTTGAAGTTACATCCATTTAAATCTTACTCAATTGCTGTTGATGTAGATGAATGGATAAGGCCCCATTCAGACTGAAAAAAAGTCAAACGAATAAAAATTCAATTAACAAATAAATCATCTGAAAAAAATGATTCAAGTCAAGATAGACCAATCATGTTGTTTAATTCGTTTTTTTTCGCTTTGAATGTGGAGCCATAGTCAGGTTAGATCATAGAAAAATGCATCATTGTTTTCGTTGACGACAAAGGTCATATAGATGAAATGAATGTGTATATATAAATGATCACATCTCGAAGTTATAAATGAATATATAGTGGTGAAAATAATTATGACACACTCATCGGCTCAATTAAATGATTTAACTGATGAAATTCTTATGATTATTTTCAAAAATTTGAACAATGATGAAATACTCTATTCTTTAGTAGGTGTTAATAAACGGCTCAATACACTTGTACACGATTCAGCTTTTACAAGTCATGTAACATTGATGAGACGTTTCTCCAAGAATTCCATTCATCCTTTATCTGATACAATACTTGATCGTTTTTTACAAATTTTACCTTCGATTCGTCATAAAGTCCAATGGCTTGATGTTGAATCATCAAGTATGGAACGTATTCTTCTTTCTACAAATTATCCTAATTTATATGGACTTGGTTTATATAATCTTGAAATAGAAAAAGCGAAATATCTGTTTACTAGTAAGATAGTTTAATTTAATTCTTATTTTTTCCTCAACAAATGAGAAGTATTAAGTTGATTATAAATTTAATAGAGTTGAGTAGATCATTGAATGTTCTATTGATAATAAATTAGTTTTATCTTTGAATATGAATAATGAATAAGAATAAATTTTTATCAAAAAAAGGTTACTTTAAAATCAATGTAAATATTTATATTAGAGAGAAGATTCTATATAGATGATTAATTTGTTTCTAAACACTTTTGTATTTATGTTTAGATGAAACTATTTTAACTGATTTATTTAAAAATCAAATTTCATCACTTACTATCCGTATCAGGAGAGATAACAAACACATGTTAACAAATGATAAAAGTACAATGATATTTACAGATATCTTTACTATGTTCACTAATCTACAGTATTTAAACTTCAAACCATCTTCCAATTGTTCTCAACGGTTATCATTTGATCTTTCACCTCCAATTTTTATTTCTTCAACTCTCTTAAAACTACATGTCAATGTAGACCATTTCGACGATTGTCTTTATTTACTTGATGGACGTTTTACTCAACTTCGGGTACTTCATGTTAACACTTTTAACATTCGTCATTCTTCACATCTAACAATCAATAACACGGTAGATTATTTTCATTAATATCTAATTAGTTCGTATGAAGTTCTATGTGTGTTTTTTTTATAGGAAAATTTACCTAATTTAAAATGTTTTTCATTATATTGTGATGCAGATACAAGTGCTTATGATGAATTAATTGTTCCACTTTTGCATCGAATGTTAAATTTAGAAAAACTTCATTTATATCTTATAATTTGTTACAAAAACACATTTATTGATGGGAACAATTTGAAAAGAAATATTCTTAATCAAATGCCAAAATTAAATAAATTTACATTTGACATTCGCTCAAGTTTTCATCTTCATAATCAAATTAGTTTACTATCAAATGAAGATATTCAACATACATTCAATGATTTTCAAAATAATCAAATTATTTCTTGTGTTGATTATTTTTACGAGTTTGGACGAGGTGAATGTCATATTTATTCTTATCCATATAAACGGGAAGTGTATCCCAGAATAACAAATAATTTTCCGGGTGGAATATTTAAATATGTTCGTGAAATATCATTATTTGATGAACGACCTTTTGAACATAAATTTTTTTTTCAAATTTCTCAATCGTTTCCATTTATGCAAAAATTAATTTTATGTAATGGAAAACCACAAAATGATAAACAATCTAGAAAATTAGATGATAACAATCAAAATTTATCAATCATTGAGTATCCAAATCTTTCTTATCTTGATCTTGTTGAAGCTCATGATGACTATGTCGAACAATTTCTTGTTGATACGAACACTTGTTTGCCAAATAATCTTTTTCTTCTTGTCGATTATCAAACACTGAGAAGAGTGACAGAAGATCTTACAAGAAAAACAACACGAACAAATTGTACAAAACTAGGTTCTTTAGGTCTAGTTCGTGAATGTGAAATTCCTGAATATTTAAAACAATATTTCCCTCATACAAAAATATTATGATTGTTATTAATGTTTGTTTAAATAAAATATGTTTGCGAGTAGAGTAATTTATATAGAATTATGGCATTGAGATGAAAAGAAAAGAACGAAAGAAAATTAGGGTCCAAATGCATGTCTTAGAGATCCATATTTTACATCTTTATTTTTTTAATATTTCTTCAAAGAATATTAACTAAGAGATAAACGAATTTTTATCTATAACCAAATACTTCCTTATATTTCATCTTATATATACTTTATATTTTTGTGTACAGTTACAGAAACGCAATTCTAACTCTCTCTCTCTCTGACAGGGCTCACGACGTGCAGACCATATTGTATACTGCAACTATTAGTTCTAGTATAGGAATGTTAGGGTTCCGTTTTCTAGGAATCCGAACCCATTTCACAATTCATTTTTATGCATTTTTTAACACAATTGACTACTCACATTCTTTTACTGCCTTTTTGTACAAAGTTGCTAGGAGTTCCCGGGTTCCCAGAAACTAGGAACTCTCTAAGAGTTCTGAGAACGGGAATTCTGACACTCCTACCTTGTTTTCATTCTTTGAAATTTCATAATTTTTTCTTTTGGTAGAGAAGAATAGCAGCACATAAATCTATATAAAAAGATGATTTTGATTGATTGTTATTTGATTTTTTTTTGTCACAGTCGAGTTCAAGAAATACATTGCATTCATTCAAATCGTTGAAATACTAAGAAGTTGAGAGTATTCCTATTTGCACTTTTGTTTGCATGACGGAAAAAATTGGTTATGTGACCAATATTGAAAGAAAAATTGTACAGCGATTAAAATGCAAAGTAATGTTTAATATAAATCTTAGGTTAATCAATTCTATTGATAAATCATTAATTAAAGGTTTACGTATGATTTTAATAGATACAATAAATGATATACAGGTATCAATCACTTGTCATTTAGATTTTTCGGAAGAAAAATTATCTAACTTAGTACGTATTATATGTCCACAATCCCTTACAATTCAAATTGAAAAACCATTTTCGATAGCTGTTAAATAGAAAATTGATAATAGTATTTAAGATGAAATAACATATTTCTCAATGGTAAACTTCTTTTTCAAATTGATACGAATACACGTCGTTCATTTAAAATTTCGAATTTGCTAAACTACAAGCTAATCAAACACATTCAGTTTATATTAAATCATATATTGAACAAGAGAAATTTGAAGATAATATATATCAATGTGATATTAAATCAAATTCATTCAATGAATTACAATTAAAATGTTTTACTTCCACCTATGGTTACATTATCACGATTAGAAAGAATGCATTGATATTGTTTGGAATGTACATATTTAATAGAAAAACGTCAAAGGGACTGTTTGTTCGTTTTTTTTTCTTGTAGACTAAAAGTTTGTGCGAAAATTAATTAGCAACCATAATTGAGTTACCGGATACTCCAAACGTGGTCAAAATTTTTCTGATCGAAAACAGTATATTTAAGATTTTAAAAAGGATATCAAATATTAAAAAAATGATCAGACTATTAACTCATGAATACCGTTTGATAAACGACGAGCTTCAATTCAGAATCCTGAAATGAGAGATCGATGTTCATTACAAATTGTACCAGTTACTAATCAATTCAATGGTAGTCCATTTCAGACAGGAGAAGATTAGATTAATATATTTTAATTTTTCTTTTAATAAGTATTGAGACATTTTCTTTAGAATATAATCCAGAACGACATATCTATTGTTTACCAGGACCAAAACTTTATGTCGACTTTAAAGATTAATTACAAAGTCCATCTAAATTGTGGATTGAATAGATATTTGCACATTCGGTAGTTGTTTGCCGGTCTGTAAGTAAGTTTTAATACAACAAACATATACTCACTCAAAATTTCTCATTGATATTTAAAACGAAAAAAAAACATTTTTTTAGACACCGATATAGTTTCAGCAACATCAAATATAAGTATAATTGCTTGTAGAAATACAGCTGTACGTATAGGCTTTGATCCATTTATTGAACATAGTAGTGAAATGATAGCATTATGTACTCATTGTGAATCTATGTCATCACCAAACACACATAAAAAAGAAATTATTTTTGGTTCATTTTATCAAATATAACTGAATAATATATGATATAACAGATGAATATTTACATGAAATTTATCGTCATGATATATTACAATAACCAAAAAAAGTGAAGAATAGCTTATTGATTAGTAAATAAAAAGTTTACAATTTATAACAAGTAATTGTGAAACGAACAAATCTATACAACTTAATTGGATATTACCAAAAGCTTATAGTCCAAGAAATTTTCTTGGTCCTATACTTGATTGGAAATTACAACGTAGCGATATAGAACATAGTATGGGACTTTATTGTATTATAAATAATATAATTATATCTGGAATATTTTAAGTAGGTACAAATAAGCCTCATTTGATTCATTTTTTAACATAAAAATTAAATTTTGATAATGAAATAAATCGAAAAGAAATACGTTTAATAACAACTGAAATAACATTAGTACGTTATCGTTAAATAGGTTTATCAGAAAAATCAGAAATTTATTTAACTGTTTATACAATAACAACTATTGATTTAACATAAAATAAACCAAATATGTTTACTATAATTGATTATCCTGAAAGATTAAATCAATATATTAAAATACATTGATATTGAATTGGTTATAGAGTTGAAATTAATGAACAAAAGTCTAATACATTAACGAAATGTCAACTAGGCGGAAATTATGAAGTACAACTAAATGAATATATGGAAGATATAGTAAAAGAAAACAAATGAATTAATTTTCTCTGTACAGTTTATCAATGGTAATGATGAAGAACCAGATGAAACGTCATTAAAAAAACTAATTATTCGGTTGTTAAATAATCAAGTTTAAATCAAAAATAATTTATTTTTTTTTTCAATTTATTTAGATCTTTGATCATTTCAAGCTAATTTTGAATTTCATCATAAGGTTACAAAAAACAATATAGCTTAACAAAAAAATGAAACTAAACCATTAGGAAAAATAAATGTTCGTTGGACAGTACTAAATATAGAAAATATTTCAAGTTTTATTTTACAATTGTATTTAGCTAAAGATTTACATATTCAACAAAAAATTCTTAATAATAATGAAACATTATATATAATAGGTTAGTCATATTTTCATCATTGATATTTCTCTAAAAAACATTATTAATATAGATGTATGTAATGAAAATAGTATAAAATATCAACATGAACCATTAAAATTGTCAATACTAGATGGACCAGATGCTCCAAAATTATGGCTTGTTAAAACATCTTATGGTATATTTGCTATTGGTTTTCAGTTATATATCGGAGGAAAACAAACAGGTGACATAATTTCCATCGAGCAGAAATTCTTTCAAACATTAATCGAAGATATCAATTTATTATAAAATCCTGAACATTCACGTTCAGGTATGTCACAAATATTATCAGTTTCAACAACACTAGCAACAAATTCTAGTCCGTCAACATAACATAATCATCATGATTATAGTTCAAGAATATTTCATCGAAGAAATGTAATAGTACGTAAAATACATGTTCAAATTGATTGAACATCATCTTTACCTATGATGGAAATACGTGCTTATTATATTCATTATATTTTTTTTACACAATAGTGAAATACAAACAGTGTAAGTATCAGCACGACATTCAAACGAAAATAGATGATAAAATTTTTATTGTATTTAGTTTTATTTTCAAAGATTTTCCGTGATTTCATACTTGGTTTTACCTATCAAATACTAGTTGTAGCTGTTGATAGAAATGATGAAATAGTTTATAAAGAAGATATAAATGCAATACAAATAAATGCTCCAATTGTAAAATTGCTAGTTTGTGTAATTTCTAAAGTAGCCTATTCGATAAAAATTTTGAAAAAAATATTGTTTTTAGTGAACATACAAGTGATCATGTAACACTTGAATGGCATCGGGCACCAAATCATGGGGTGTGGGTGTTGGATGTGGATCATTGAAAAGGATTACATCCAATACCCACCCACCCCTTTTTCTCGTCGGCTAGATGAAATTATTTGTATATCGTTATTTAATTCTATCAATCACATGTAAATAAGTATTCATCAATATATATAGTTATCGTTTTCTATATTAACTGTACTCTCAACTAGCAAATACTTTCTTAGTAGCTTTTACACTTGAATATGTCGTTGATATGTGCATTATACAGATAATGTCTTAAGATTTGTATGTATAATCACAACGACTAATCTCAATCGAAAAGTTCTTCATTCGAAAATGAACAAAAAATTCTATTAAATATTTATTGACATATAATCAAAGAAGAAAAAGCGAGACTCAT